GAATCTTTCACTATACCTGAGACTAAGCTCTGACACTCAGTCACAACTGTAGAATCTTGAACTGTTTAAAAGAATCCCAGAAATCCATAAGCCACAATTCTTACCATCCAACATTCTCTGTTCCAGTGTTTGGAAGGGTATTCCTTGACCTCCTCCTGTCAGAAGAACATCGGATCCCAACGCACTTGTTCCCCTTGATGAGGGAAGAGCAGGGCGACTCCTTTGTCAGGATTCTGGGAGTGGTGAGGAGAGGTGAGCACGTGAGGGTTTGTGGAGAGGAAGGAGGTGACTGTGCCACTCTGTGGCTGAGCTGCTGGCACAGAGAAACACGGCCGAGTCCCCCTTCTCTACTCGCTGGATCTTCAGAGTGGGGTAGGATCCCTTAGGCCTCTCAACAGAGAACCGATCATTAGGCATCCCTGATGTGTCTGATGCAAAATCATCCTGAAAATAAGTCAGAAACTCCAGGTTCTGTCCCAGTTCTCTTGGCACCAGTAAAGGCGGGTATGTTCGGAAATAGGATCACACCTGAGAGCTACATCCTGTCCTCTCTCTGTGACCCTGTGCCTGAGGGACTGGGAGACTCCAGCCCCTAAGTGATCTGTGGAGACAGAATTTGGGAACAGAATGAAGAGAACAATTTAATCATCACATTGTAATCATCACACACACACACACACACACACACACACACACACTGAAACTGCTTGGTTTTCTGAGGACTCACCTGCCCCCAGGAGACAGAGGGTCATGCAACAGAGGAGCCTGGTAGCCATGGCAGGGTCAGGGCAGGAATGGGAGGTTCATCGGGTCAGGGTCCTTGTGAGCATGAGCAGAGGAGGCGAGACATCCCTTGTCCCCACAAGGCACTTCCCATAGTGACATCACTGAGCCTCTGGATTACCTGATATTAATTAATTAATTACATCTAAGATGACAGCAACTCTGATGACATTACAACTAAGATGACAGCACTGTTCTATTACGTACCATCAGGAAAAAAAATTAGTCACTCATAATCAGAAATGTTAAAAGGCACAAACTTGTGAAGCACAGAATTTATGAAAAATGGTAATTCAAGAGTGGATTTAAATATACACTGATTCTGTTAGGTTCCTTGGGAGTCACCCCTCAGAGCTCCAGTGTTCTGTTCCAGGACCCCACAGTGCCTATCTGGCCGGTCTTCTCACTTCTCTCATTCCTTTCACCTTGTCAGCTGGACATCTCCATCTGGATGTTTCAACAGCACTTCAAATTTACGGTATAAAATGCTGACTTGATCATCTTTCCTCTGAGTTCTCCAATTTCTGACCTCGATCCTGCCTTTGCCTGTCCTGTCCCTGGCTTGGGCAGGAGTGGGATATATGGGGGGTGGGTGGGAACACTTCCATGTCTTTGTCCTGCGATCAGTTTGAATTCATAATTCAGAGCCGTGAGGGATGAAATGGTGCCTCTGGCAGGTACTGACCTAAGTTGGGATCTTCTATTAATTCTGGAGGTAAAAAGACAATTCCCTCTATTAATTCATTAATCTCCATACTGCTTTTTGTCCTCAACTCCTTATCACGGTGCCTCCTGTGTTTCTAAGTCACTTCTAAAATAAATAAGTGTTCCAAAACCCTACCTTCAGAAGGAGTCAGAACTGTTTTGTCTTTAACATTCTGGGGAGAGTTAAACAATGAAAATGGGGTGGGAGTTTGAACTGATTCTTGGGGCTCCTACCAGGCTGCATTGTAATTAATTTCCCATTTTCATTTCTAGCATAACTTGCAAAGCCTCCTTGGTGGCTCCCTTCATATGAGCAACAACAGTCACAATCCTTCCCAAAGAAGAGAAGATTCCTCCAACCCGGTTATGCAGGAAAATGGACCCGTTTCTGGCCCCTGAGAGTCTCCTTGAACACTGAATGATTTATTAGCGTGCCCCATTAAACAATTACCCTGTGGCTCCTTCAGCCTCATCATGTCTCTTCGTCATCTGCCTTCACAAGGAAAAGGAATAGTATGGATGTTAACTACACCTTCAAAATAAATCATCCCATCTTCCAACCACTTAAAAAGCAAAACTGACCAGAAGCAGCTTGGATTTGAGTTAACGCAGTGTTCCTCCACATTTCACACACATGAAGCGACCACTTAGTTGCCTCTCTCCCTCCCTCATTTTAACAATAGCTTCTCACAGAGCTCCCTTCCCTGGTTTAACCATGTTCGTGTCTCTGCAGCATCTTGTGAGAGATATAATTTTAAGGCTTAACTCTTTGAACTAGGTAGTCTATTTTTGGTCTTCACTGCCTAAGGAGGTGAAACTGCGTTAGTACTTAAAGCACTGATTTGAATCATTCAGGCAAAATGGGGGCTTTGGTCTATCCTCGGGCCATCCTAGACAATCATCTATTTGATTGTGAGTCTTTCTAACCAGAAAGACTCACAATTCTTCAAGGACTACTACACGACCTCTCTCTGTAAATGGAGCCTTCACTGTCATAAACAGCCTTTCCTGTACGGCAAAGGAGGAGAGCCAGGCTAGGGCCCTGCACAGTCTCCTGCACCACAGTCAGGGTGTGGGCTGGAGGAGCCAGAGTACACGGATGAGTGACCTCAGCTCTGTGTCTCTGGCATTGCCCAGCGATACATGAAAGTGGACCTCATATAGTTCAGGGTATCAGGCCTCATGTCCTCTAATTTATCCAGGAGATATTTGTGCCTTGGGAACCGTCCCTCCCAAATAATAGAGAAGCCATTTTGTTTCCTTCTCTATCAACTTTTAATACCATTTTTTGATATTCTGTTTCTGATAATTCTGCCAGTGATTAGGTATCCCATGTGAGAGACTTCAAATCCATCGGGCATGTGAGGGAAGGAGACTGAAGGAAGAGGCACTTGATCCCAGGAGACAAAGGGATGTAAGGTCCCAGTTGATGTGACCAGACCTCTGGGATGGTCTAAGTGGGAGCCTGGATGGTCTTCCATGAGTCGTCCATTTCCTAACGACTGTCCACTGGTGCCCAGAACTGCTGTAGGTGCTGGGAATAACACGGGGAATAAAGAACATCCACAGTCCCTCTGATGTGAGGTTTACAGTCTAGAGTGGGAGGGGTTTCTGTTGAATTGTCGCACAACTTCATGTAAAATGACAACTGTGCTAAATGCTGGTGAATAGTATAAGCTCTGAGCCCTGATAATAAGGAGATTTGACCTATTAACAGAGTGAAGAAGTGCTTCCCTCAGGAGGCGCTGGTTAAGCGAGATCTGGAGCAGGAGAACATCAAAGGAGAGACCTGTGCTGACAGAGAACAGCCTGGGAGTGGAGAAGCCTTCTGGTGGGAGGAGCAGGACCCATATGAGGAAGGAGCTGAGGCCAGTGTGGTCGAAGCAGAGATGAGGGCACAGGGCAGGGGAGGAACAATCAGGAGTGGACACAACAGGGACAGAGGCTTATGACTGAAACGAAAATGGTGTGAGGAAGACAGATTCATACAAGGCCAGCGGGGACAGAACATAGACCTGAGGGGTCAGTGGTGTCTGTGTGTATCCAGTTTCAGATAAACTCTCCTTCCTGTGAGCAGCTGGGTGAGAGGATTTCCTCTGAAAGTCCTGAGCTGTGGTAGCTCCAATGGCGGAGCTGCAGGAGGGGCTGGAAGGGAAGGCGGAGTCCCCTCAGACCACGGTGCTCACCCAGCTGAGACTGAGCTGGGGAGGAATCCCAGCACCACGCAGAGGTCCATATGTGTTACCAAACCAAGTGGGTTCGCCTCCTGGTGAGTTAAATAAGACTCTACACCAGTGGAAGCTGTCTCACAAAGTGCATTTGCAGCAAATAGGAGGCCATGAGGAATCATTTCCAAATGGAGTCCTCCAACAAAGGGAAGCGGGAAGTTTTATCTCTGATGGGGAATGAATATTCAAAAGAGAGAGGCGGGTATTCGCTTGCCCAGCCTCAGCTGGAAAACATGCTTCCACATACACTGCAGGTTACCATAATGAGGCCTGAGCTCCCTGGGAGAGATCTCAGCATTAAAGGAAAGGCAAAGGTCATGGACACAGCTCTTGCGGTGAGGCTTGGTCAGTTTCAGGATGGTTGGTGGTTACATCTCCTTAACATACAAAAGGGAAAAAACAACTTCTTGAAGAAACAAATTAATTACTTCCAAACCCACCCTTGAGTTTCTCAAGGCACCTAATCTGACATATGCACAGGGTACATTGATTATTACCTGTGAAAAGCAAAATTTAAATTTTACTAGAATAAATTAGGGAAAATATTAGGCACTTATTTGAGGCAGAATTTGTTTAGTAGGGAAACAAAAAAAGCTATCTATAATTTCAGTTACATTAAACTCATGTACATCGAAACACACCCTAAAAATGAAAACGTAAGCTGCAGACTAGGAAAAGACATGAGGACTGCGTACAAATGATAACGAATCAGTGTGAAGTTACATGTTTCTCTAAGTTGCCGCAGAAGAGGTCACAGTGATGATGATGATGATGTATGAGCTTTCCACTGCTGCCCAGCTGGATACACGGTGATGTGGCTGGTCCTCTGTTCCTGCTGACCAGGATGAGGAGGCTAATGATGGAGCAGCTGGGCATGTGGAAGAAGTACGGACTTTATAAATACAGACAAGTGCATTTCCCAGTTCTAAATCATGAGACATTGAGAAAATGACTTAACGGCCCTGAGCTTTTTAATCCATAAAGTGGGTATAAGAATATTTAATTTGTGTGATTGTTGCAGAGCTTTAAAACATGTAATGTATACAAAGAATCTAGCACACATCAGTTGTCACTCTTCCATTGACATCACCCAGGACTTGACAAACTTCTGGATGGTGCTGGGAGAGACATGGAAACATTCAGTGCGCACATGTGAACCTGGGTTCTGTTAGGTTAGTTGGGAGAGCCCTGAGCTCAGCTGGACACAGGAACTGTCTTTGAAACCACTAAAAGCTTCCCAGGAAGCAGGGAAAGCAGGGCCAGAACCTGTGTGCTCTCTCACCGTTAGAGCCACAGCAGGGAGGTTTGTGCACAGGGCGTGGTGACTCTGCAGGGTTGTGCCCAGCTGCTGGCACAGAGACACAGGGCCGAGTCCGTCAGCTCCAAGACGCTCACGTTCAGCTCCCAGCAATAGTCATGGAATTGCTGTGCTAAGAATCGACCCGGGACGTCTCCTTATGTTTTCTGCACATTTTCATAAAACTCAAAGAGGAGCTGGGAGCCTGACTCAGGCCCTGTCGGTACCAAGATACACCGGGGTGCTCGGAGATAGGGGAACATCTCAGCGACACTGTCTGTCCTGGTGTTTTTATCAGGCGTCTTGGAGTTTGGGTGACTCCAGCGTCTACTGGGCTTGTGGGAAATGCAGATATAAAATGAGCACAGGAGAGAGTTTGATGGTTTATCTGCAAGGTTAAGCCTAGAAGAGCAGTGATCTCCTTGTCCACAGGACTCACCTGCTCCCAAAGACAAAGTGTCTCCCAGCAGAGGAGCCTGGAGCCCATGGCACGGCCAGGGGCAGAGAGCAGCACTGTGCCTCTTGCGCTCAGGGTTCTGGTCTTCTTGGGTAAGAGCTGAGTTCTTGGCTTCCCTTTTCCTGATTGGAGGATTATACTGTGATGGCATTGCCCTGTCGTCATCACCCTGCAGCTTCCTGAGGTCCAGTGCTCAGTGCTGCCCCACACAACAGATTCCCCTCCCCTTCTGCAGGGCAGGAGGGCTGGCTTAGGGCAAAGTCCCTTCCCACACAGCACTGCTGATTTTTCCCTGAGGCAGGGGCCCCTCTGCTGTACCTGCCCCAATAGGGAAGATGCCCTGTCTCCCTCTCGCCCTCCTCACCCCACCTTCTGCCTGCAGTGCTCTGTGCTGCAACTCACCTGCCAGTGCATCAACTGAGGGTGAGGGGTCTGTGAGTAAACCTTCTGTTGCCAATCTGCCTGTGTGTCCTCCATCATCTCCCTGATGCTGGGTTCAAACAAAGCTTTGATTTTATGTTTTCCTTCCCCAGGCCTTATTCCTAGCCTCTGCCCTGAGCGGCAAGTGATGAGGACTCACCAAGATTTAGTCCATCTGATGGAGTTTGAAGGGGGCTTGGGTTGTGTATAAATTACTAGGAGTAAAGATACCCAGAAACTATTCTCTGACTTTATTGACTTATAGCACAGACCTTGCCAATTTGGGATTTACCCCCTCAAGCCCATTCTCAGAGGAGCGTTCTGGACAGTTATGTTGATCCCTCCAGATCCACCCTCTATGGATTATGTTAACTGGGCTCCTTTCTCCTCCACCTGGCACTTGAGTTTTGCTTATGGGAGACAAAGGCAGGAGAGTAAAGGGAGGCAGGGTCACCTAGTGTCCTGGTTTGCAATATCTGTCTCTGGGCTCCCTTCTTGCTGGACACATTTCATATTAGCTGCTTTGCCCTCCCCAGGCCAGGGCACCTGGCAGGCTGCCCTCTCCCTAAGCCACAGTGCCCCACTGCCCAGGGATCCACACCTCTCCTCCTTCCTTCAGGACAATTGGGAGTAAGAGCCACTCACTTCTGCTAGAAGGATGTTCTCCTTCCCTGACTGGTTTCCCTTGGCCCTGCCTCACCTTTGTGGATAGTCCCTTCACTGGCCCTCCTCAACTCTGCCACGACCCTGACTAATGGACAAAGCAAGGGAAAAATGAGGCTTGGAGAATGTATTTTGCCTTAAAAAGAAAGTAGCAAATGTCCTAACATTCTGCAATCAGCAGTAACAGAAGTCCTAACATTCTGCAATTAGCATTGCTGAGTAGTCTGCAGAAGCATAGAGAAATATGCAATGTGAAAACAAATGTTGTAACTTGCTGACACAGAGTCTGAAGAGGCTCCAGGGAAGAATGACACTCTGTCCTCACCGACTCCTACCTCGGGACATCTACAGCAGGGGGATTTCTTCATATATATAGTGGACCCCCCGGTGCTCCATGCACATCCCTCTTCAGGACCCTCCCTCGGATCCCCAGCAGTTGTGCCCCTCCCTGGGCACTGCCCTCGGCTGCAGGGATCGCCTTTGGTTTAAGAGGCAAGAAGGGAAGAAGTGGGCAAATTTTTAAGGAGAGTGAGAAAAGTTTTAAATATTTGAAATAATATTTGTGGAGAAAGAGAGAGTGAGCTAACAAGAGAACCATACTAGAATCTCAAAGCAGGGCTGTAAAGGCAGGTAAGGTTAGTGACTCTCAATTTGTCACGATACCAGTTTGTGCAGGTGTGTGACTTATTCTGCCAGAGCTCAGCTGCTGCCGTAAATAAAAGAGACCAACGCATCCACTCCGGTTGGGATTTCTGTAATGTAAGGGCAACCTCAGAAGATCACGGTAAAAGAAGGAGGACTATCTGCAAGATAGGATTGGAAGAATGTAACATCATCGAATCTACTCTAGCGTGAGGTAATGAAGATACAGAACGACCTCAAGGAATAAGTTACCAAGGGCTAGGAGATCCCAATAATGGCAAAGAGCAGGTGTGGGAGGATAAGAAGCTGTGGGCAGATGGTGGGATGGTTCATTTGTGATGTGGGAGGGGGAGCATTTTCCGCTGATGACAAAGATCAAGGAATGATGTTACTACTGTGGAGCAGCAGAGCAAGAAATAGGAAAGACTCACAAGTTTAGGGTGGGCAAACATGCCTTAGACAGGAGGCAAGGGCACTACATGTGAAAGAAAAAATGGTAAATCAGACTTTATAAACACTTAAAACCTCAGTTCACCAAAAGGCAACATTAAGAAAGTGAAAAGGCAAGCCGCTCTGGGAGAAGACAGACTTGGTATATTTAATGGAATCTAGAATAGAAAAATATCTCCCACAAATCAAGAATATAAAGACAACCACTTCTTTAAAAATGGACAAATTTCAAAGCAGACATTTTACAGTAGAAGATGGGAAGATAGGAATGGCCAAAAAGCATATGAAAAAAGTAAATATCATTACTCATCAGTGAAATGCAAATGAGATACCACCATACACCCAACAGAATGGCTAACAGTATAAAGACAGAGACACGGCTGATGGGAAGCATGTGGAGCCAGGGGAACTCCCATCCCTTGGTGTTGTAAATTGATGCAGCCACTTTGGAAAACTGATCAATTGTTTCTAATAAAGGCAAACATGCATCTTACCCTATGAATCAGTGATTCTACTCTTATCTCTATACCCAAGGGAAATGGGTTCATTTATCCACAAAGACCTGTACAAGAACATTCAGAACGGCTTTACTCATAATAGCTGAAGACTAGAGCAGCCCGCTTATCCACCTATAGGAGAGGAGAAACACATTGTGATAACACTGGAATACTGGAATATGAAGAGTAAACTACTGATATACACAATACGAGTACATTTCAAAATATTAACTTTTGAGAAAAAGAAGTCAATCAAAAAAGAGTATTTACTATCTGGTTCTATGTATATGAATATCAAGAATAGGCAATATTATGGTGATAAAAGTCATAAAAGTGGTTAGCTCTGGGAAATAAGTTGATTGCAAAGGAGCATGAGGACATTTTCTTGGGTGATGGAAAAGTTCTCATCTTGATATCAGTCAGGGTTTCACTGGTGTATGCATTCATCAAAATTTACCAAGCTAGCCATGTATTAATTTGAGCATTTTACTCTCTATGAATACATCTTAAGTATAAATAAAACATAAATAAATTGCATAAAATATGGGAGTCCTATACAATTTTACGCTTCTATTGCATGAAGTCCAATTTAGAAGTGAATCACAAATAAGAGAAGACAGGAGCACTCACTTCCATAAAATATTGGGAATGTGAGAAGTTCTCTGTGACTGAAACTTACAACATCCAAATTTGGAATAAAATAAGCTGGCCGACAAGTTTCCCGAGAAACATCTGAGGATCCATGGCTGAGGGAAAGCTGTAGCCAAACAAAAAGTTCAAAAAAAACAAAAATCTTCAAAGGCTGTTGAAATCCTTCGATGAAGCCCTAACTGCTGTGAACTCCATAATTTGGCAAATCGGTCATTCGTCAGTATCACCATTTAGTCTTTTGTTAGGCTCTCAGTAGATTAGTGAAGTGAGGTTTTGCCAAGCAAGCAGCCTGCGCCCCTCTCTGCAGCAGGTCCAGTTGAGCCAGCAGTTCCTGGGCAGCCTCCAGGGGGCACATGGGCACAGCAGGGGCTCAGGGGGCAGCCACACAGGGGGTTTCCATGTCCAGCGAAGCCCAACTAAGGACCTCTCAGTCTCAGAGTTAATGGATCCCAACTTAAGAAACCTTGCTTTTGCTTACAGATTTCTACCTGTAAGGAGCCAAGAAGAGATATGGGCTGGGGTGAATAAAATTA